GTGTATTTGAATGATGTCCTATATCAGAGGTCAGGGAAATGTGTAGCCTTCCAGATGTTGCTGGACTCCCTGCTTCCTTTGCCATGCTTTATGCTGGTGAGGGCGGATGGGAGTTTACATTCCAGCAACATTGGTGAGCCCATCCCTGCGTACGAGCAGTAAAACCAGTAGTGAGTGGTAGTGACCATTCACCTGGCTAGTTTTATAGACCTATTTTTATGAACCGGTTTGCTGATTACATAGCTAATTTGAGAGCAGAAGCAGGGCAGTGGTCTCCAACTCCTGGTAGACCCCCTTTATGATAAACTCCATTTTTACTTACATTAATGATTGCACATAAACTGGGTGGGTTGCTGTAATCCAATACTGAGTATCGTAAAATGGCAAATGTGGCAGCTGTTTAGTTATGTGGTATTCCTGGAACATTTCAGAAAGCATAGCAAATATTTGGTCAGGGAGGTAAATACAACTGTTCTTTGTCTTTGTCATAAAATATACAGAACTTTGCTAAAGTCATCTGTCTTGCTACTTTGCTTTGAATCAGGATTTCACACACACACACAGTGACTGGATCTGGATGATCAAGCCCAGATACGTTTGAGGCTTGCACATCTTCACACAGCTCCTGTCCACTTTACTCCTCCCTTCACATGAGTGCAGAAGCAAGCCAGGAAGTCACAATTAACCACAGCTTCCTGCCACATGGAAACTGGGAAATGATAGTTACTGGTTTCCAAACAAGGCAAGATAGGAGAGCTTAGTTGTTGTCTTCAACCTGGCTTCCTTAGAAGCCATTAACCCTAGTTTCCCTTTTGTGCATAATGGAAAGGTATAGTAAACTATGGCTTCTTTACTCACTTGTACTAAGAGAGGAAGTAGCAGAAAGGTCAAAGAATATTAAGTCAGGACTTGATCATCTGAATACACCCACTCAGCAGTAGAGAACATACCTGAATATCTTTTCTTTTTTAATTAAAAAAGGGCAAACACACACATAATGATTTTAAATCTAATTGCCGACAGAGGACACTGAATTTAACACCTTCCCTTACCTGACTGATGAAAACAGTACTGGGATCCAATAGGCACTGGTACTTTGTCTATTTTCCATCATCTGATCTAAGGAAAGGTATTGTCAATTATTGCTGCTGGTTTCCCTGATATGGCCCTGAGACAATAAAATCCTACCTTATTTCCTTAAAAAATGCTATTTTGACTACCCTGATTTAATTTCAGTTGGTAAGTCCACTTTTCTGCAGTGTCTATTCACCAGGGCTCCACATACCAAGACTCCAATTTCATAAATTCTGCAGTTTTCAAATGTTTACCCATTATCCTGCAAGATCAGTGCTGAATGTAAACTGCAAAGAATAGAAATCCTCCTCATATAGTACAGAAATCAGAATAATGCTTTTGGAGACTCTTTTGAAAGCACCATACAGATGTGGAAGTCATATCCTGGGGCATTCCTTATGCACCTGTAGCATCCCCAAGGGCTTCCTCCAGGTTTCCCACACAGTGGATGTCTCTGCCACACCTCCTCCATGCTGTGCTGGTGGACTCTGTCTGCTCAAGCAGGGTGTGTTTTTACACTGGTTTTACACTGGACAGACTCTGCGTCTGCGGTGGCATTTCCACTCACAGTGTTTAATCTTGCAATGAATCTGTTGGAGCTTATTATAGAACAGTTGTAGTTCAAACACGTTTTGCTCCCTCTGATGGAAAAGAGCCAGGGTGCATGTATTTTGGATTTGTGTGCAGGAACTTATATGCAGGTGCAACTATGACAGAAAACACACTGGAGAGCCAGTGTGGTGTAGTGGATAAGAGCGTGGGACTGGGACTCAGATGATCTGGGTTCTAGTTCCCGCTCAGCCATGGAGCCAGCTGGGTGACTTTGGGCCAGTCACAGACTCGCAGCCCAACCTACCTCACAGTGTTGTTGTTGTGGGGATCAGATGGAGGAGGAGATTGATGTAAGCTGCCTTGAGCCCTTTGTAGGAAAAAGGCAGGATATAATAAATAAAAACGCATGCTTCTAAAATATACTTCTGGCTCAAAACTAGACACCTAAAAACCCCCAAAGCATCTATTTCATCAACATCTCCTTCCAAATGCCCAATACAGGAACAGCAATTTTGCAGGGTAGCAGAGAAGAGAGGGTATCTTTTTTGCTTGTGGGATGTGCTGTGCTATATTACCCCTCCCAGCATCCACAGAATCTCAAATATAGTATCTACCAGATTATGCTTATCAACATAACAAAAATCACAATCGGTTGTCTGGCCTATTTTTCTGGTGTTCCAGCCAACCAATAAGAAGATTGAAGAACTAGAAGATTTCTAAGCCACTACATCATGAAAAATCACCATTAGAAAACTCCTTTACTAAGATTAATAAATTTTTATTAACTATCCCAACAGGCTGGTAATATTCCCATTTTAGATAACAAACTCAAGGCTCTGAAGACTGGTATTCATGCTGGACTACCTCATTCACAGATATTGTGGCATTTGAAAAGGATTCCCTCTGGCAGTACTCCAATGTTTTTCCTAAACAGTTCCCTAGGGAGGGAATTCAAAACCAGTGGTGCCACCATGGAAAGGGCACTGCATCAGGCTTTCCTTGCCCCTATGCCCAGAGACATAGGAGGCAGGGCCGGGGTACACTTTAATGAATCAGGCAAATGACTGAATGAGGCTTCTGTAAAAGCAGGAAAGTACAAGTCTGAACGAGCTGCTGTTTCTGAGCAATTTACAAGGATAGCCCCAAGCAGAGCATGTTGTAGTTACCAAGACATAAATAGTGTTCCAAGTGGCCATGAATTGGGCATACAGGAGCCCCATAGGGTCCCAAAACTAATTTTCAAGTTGCAAAATCCAGTTTTCGAGGAAGCATGACCTCTGGAATGGTTGTACTCTTTAGAATCAGGATAGTCACCAAACATCACAGTCACAGAGAGCAGCTGCGGTGCTATCTAAGAAAGCTGACTTTGCCACAGTGACACACGCCTTGTTTACAGCCAAGCTAGATTACTGTAATGTTGTTCTTGAAGACCATTTAGAAGCTGCGATTTGTGCAGAACGCAGCAGTGAGAACACTTGCGGAAAGTGGGCATTCTGATCATGTTACTCAGATCCTGCTTTGTTGAGACTGTCTGCCTGTTAGTTCTGGACCCAATTCGCAGTGCTGGGTTTGGCCTTTCATGCTTTAAACAGTTTGGAACCACCTTATTGGAGGACTCTGCCCAAGTATTAAAAGCAGCACCAGGGGAGTTGCTTTAGGTTCCCATCCATTTATCAAGAGGACCCCTAAAAAATCTTTCCAGCCAAATGAGATAAAGAAATACTTCCATGTAACTTTCTACTATGCGTCCAACTATTCTGTGTGTTTGTTTCTCCAGATCTCCAATGGAATTGATAGAAAACTAAACATTAGGATTGCCAAATGTAGCTACTAATAATATCAAAGAGAGCGGAGCATAGCAAAACATGAGCTATGCCATGATGTGTTAAGATAATCCTGGCATTAGATTTATAGGCCACTCCATCCAAAAGTAACAATTACTAGAGGGATAGCTGTGCCAGTATGTTGCAGTGAATACAAAGAGTCTTTTGAGTAACAAATTTCTTGTGACAGAAACTTTCATGGACAAGCATGAGATGAAGTAGATTCTAGTCCACAAAACCTTGTGCCATTATAAACTTCTTAGAGTTTGTTCCATCACACCCTCCCTCTGCCCCTGGAACTCAGGCCAGAATGCATGTTCCCAATGCCTATCACAATCACAACAGTCCTGTCAGGTACTCTAAGCTGTAGGTGAAATGGGTAGGGAGAGGCAGACAGATCTCATAAAGGAATGGGAATTTGGACCTGAGCCTCTGCAGTCCCAATACTCTTAGCAAAAGAGGCCATAAGATTCCCTCTTGTTTTCCCATTTCCCAGAGTGGGCATTTTAAAATCTGCTAAACACAGAGTTACATCTAAGCTAGGCATGCACAGAACATTTCTCCACCTGTCACCGATTTAGCCCTGAACCCCAGTGGTTCCAAGAAGGTTAGCGAGCTACTTCCAAAGGTGTGCATGCATGAACTTTGGTGAGTAAGCGAGGAGAGCAAGTTCCTTAACTGGGGTGTGAAGAAATAAAGGGACAAAGAAATGCAAGGTTATTAAAGGATCTGGAGAGGGGAGGGAAAGAAAAAGGAATGAAGTTCATTTTTTTCTGACTTTGATCCCCTTTCACACAGAATCCCAAAGCAGCAACTCCCAAATCAGTTACTGCCCACGTTGGGGAAACTTGGCGCACTCCTTTCGTGTATGCCCCCGATTTAGTATCGGATGTATCCTCTTTCTCCGAGTTCCCTGCTCCGTGGCTCCTCCCCCATCACCAGCTTTAGTTCGCTCCTTGTCGGAGGTGCTTTCACACGTTACACAGGAGCAGACCCTGCTTCGCAAACTTGCGAAGACTATTTGCTACCTGCGCTTCTTCCTTCCTTTCTTAGAGGCTTAGAAGCTGCGGCTACCTGGTTCCTACGGTCTCCAGGAAACTTAAGGCACGACTGCATTCGATTTCGAGGGTGAAGGAGCTCCTCCGGCAGCCCCGCCTTTCCAGAAACCACGGCCAAGTACGTGTGAAGAGCTCTTGCGTTTACTAGTTTCAACAGAACTGCTCTTCGCCTTGGATACTTCAAGGCTGCCTGCTGCGACCTGGCGCCCCAGAGATGTTGGACCACAACTCCCAGTATGCCCCAGCCAGCCACCTTCTGGGGGAACCAGGTCGGGGAAGTCTGAACAGAAAGACCCCCTTCTCCCACCCCAACCAGCTTCAGAAAGGAGCGAAGACAAAAGTTGCCCCAAACTTGGGCCCACGGGCGAGATCGCTGCTGGGAAGAGGTGAAACGCGAGGCGAGGCGCGATCGCCAGCGCAGAACTGCTAAGCGGGGGCCGCAGGGAAAGTGGCAGCGGTCCGGCAAGGGAGAGGGACGGCGACCTGCTCCTACCTGCAGCCTCGGTGCTGTTGGGGAAGCGGCGCCGGCTGCTGGGGACGCCCTGCCATAGCTCCAGCCGGATTCTGCGTTTGAATGGCAACTTGCAACAAATGCGGGAGCGAGCGGCGAGTGCAGGAGCAAGTTTGCATGACCTCTTAATGAGCGACACTGTCGTCGGTGTCATTGGGTGTCCCGGCGTCATGTGACCGTCCAAGGAAAATAAAAGACCTTTAAAGTTTGCACTTAAGACTCCGAGGGACTCTGTAACCCTTTACCTGCAGGCGCGATGGGAAACGGGCCGAAGCTCACGCGGCGGGAGCGGGGCGGGGGGGCGAATTCACGCAAGCTGCGCGAACCCAGCGCGGCCCCACGTGACGGCTTTGCTGCACAATGCGCGGCTTTGTACGCGTCCCAGCAGGTTCTTGTGACCGCGCTTGGGGTGCGTTCTTGGGACGAGGCTTCCCCCGGAAAATGGGCCGCTCATCCCTCCCCCCCTCCCTCTGTGGAGTGACTTCAGCTCAAGAATTAGGATCCGCGCTCCTCTGCAGGGGTGGTGCTGGGACCGAAAACATCCGGACCGAAGGGAGGGACACAACTTTGTATATGCTAATTCACACAAGCTGTAAAGCCTCAGGACAGCGCTACATGCAAAGGGCGACAGAAGGACAGGGCTTTTGATTTCAGGAAAACCTTAGGCAGAAAGTTTCGAGGGGAAGCAGGAGGAAGTGAAGCACAGGTGGGCGAAACGCACAGGTGTGGTGGCTAGGTGAGCGGGACAGAAATTTGGATTCTCGTCCCCCCTCAGGCTAGAGCTCGCTGGGTGACTTTGGGTGAGTCCCAGACTCTCAGCCCAACCTACCTCACAGGGATGTTGTTGTGAGGATAAGATTAAGAGGAGGAGGAGAATGAGGCTAGCTGCCTTGAGTTCCTTGAAAGGAGAAAAGCAGGATATAAATGTTGCATCAATAAAACCCCAGCTAATTCATATAGAGCAGAGATTCAGGGCTCCGAATTAAAGATTTTGAGGCTCCAGCCCTAGTGAGCCAGCTGCTAATACTACCTCTGTTCCCATATCTGTTTCTGTAGAAGTAGTTTCCATTGAATTCAGTGGGGTTTACTCTTAGGTAAGTGTGTATATAGGATGGCACCTAATCCTCCTACACATGTCTACTCAGAAGTAATCCCCATTGCCCTCAGTGGGATGCACTCTCAGTAAGTGTGCCTAGCAGCAGCTAGCAGGAACTACTTTTGTTTTTTATTGGAACCCGGAAATTCACCAAGAAGAGGCATGTGCAAAATATTGGCACAGGCAGGCATATACTAAGAAGGAAGGAACGGGGTGCCTCTGCACACATGTTCCACCCAGGACTTGTGACTGGTGCCAGAGCCGAGCTCAGCAGTCCAGCCAAGCACAAATCCATTTCAGGTTTTCTCTCAAGCATTCTTTTTCAGTAACCTCATTGGAAGGGATGGGAGGGGGAGGCTTTGCTTGTGTTGGTCTACTGGGAATCTGAGCTCTACCAGCAAATCTCTGTCTACCTTTTGATCACCCCAGTGTTTAGCGCTGCAGCCTTAGACCAATTCTCTTGCAAGAAATATCAGTCATATACAACCATGTAACAACTGCTTTAAGTTGCGTAATTCCCTGGGGCAAGCAGGAGATGGTAGGCCCTTTTTGGCACTTGCTGGAAACCCAAGGCTGAGCAGGGCTGCACTGACAAACATCCCAGGAACTATTCCTTCTCTTCTGCTTGTTGGCCTGCCCCTTGCTTTGGCCCAGACAACGTGGTGAGCAGTCTTCAAGAGCACTCTATATTGAGAGCACTTGAGGGCCAAACTGTTGTAGTGGCATAAAGTGCCTTTTGCAAGCTTTGGCTGATAGGGCAGCTGGGACCCTTTCTGGACAGGGAACACCTTGCTGTTCTTATCTATGCACTGACAACCTTCCATTAGCATTAGATGTTTGGTTCCCTCTGAAGATGGTCTTCTCACCCAGATTCTTCTCTGGATGTTGCTGCCCACACAGGTGTGATGGGTGGCAACCAGATGTGCAACCGTCTCCGCAGTGTCCACCCTCACCCTCAGTCTATGGAAGGCTCTTCCCAAGGATATCTGCCCATCGTCTTCTTTGCATGCATTTAAATGCTAAGTTAAGACCTATTTCCAGGTAGGGATTACAGCCATGAAAAGACACCATTAATGAGCCAGTGCAGACTGATTCAGGCAACAGGGCTGCCTGACGTGCCCTTGTGCATCCATCTGGCAGGCAAGGTTTTTCTCTTGTCAAAAACATGCTTGCATCAAAATGATAGCAGTAGTTTTGGTGCTGGAGCCCTTCAGGTTTAACTGCAGGGAGGGAAACAAAACAAGTTCGGAACAGGAAAACCTCCTGGGCTGCAAAATTTCAAACAACACAGTCATTCTGCCTTTCTTTCCACTGCAGTAGATCAAGGGCATTGCAACACATTAAGTTTAAAGCATCTCTTGTTTGCATTTAATTTATAATGCAAATGTATAACCTACATGGACTGAAATGCTCGGTGGCATTGTCGAGATGTTCAGGAACATGAAAAAGTGCAAGTCATTCCCCTTTCAAGGGATGGGGGGGCACGTTAACAGGGATATATATGCCTCCCCCAAAGAGAGCCTTGTTGGGGGAGGGGGAAAGAGGAGGAGGAACTGGAGTTTTGGCAGCTAGCTGTCAAAATGCCAGTTCCCTTTAAAGGGGTGTGGTTCATACCTTTCCATTTTCCTCAGCACCTAAAATGTCAGGAACAAATGGAAAAATGAAGGCCTCATTTGGACAAGAGGATCTGGCTGTGAAGAAGTCATTCTCACTTTTTTGTGAGCATGGATCACACATTCCTTTGGTTTGACGTGACATTTCACCTTTTGACAGCAGTCAAACCAAACCAAAGGAGAAAAAGTTGATTTTTCAGCCTCTTGGGGTCAACATCTACGGTTGGTACCTATTGCAATTTGGGAGTAGGTACCTCCCCGGACATTGCCCATGCGACTGTTCCTCTAAGCATGCTCTTCCAAAAGACTGCCTTTTTTCCGGAGCAAATATTTGGGCACATTAGGGTGTCCCCAAGAAAAACCTGAAGCATTGGTTAGCAATCAAGAACAGCCCTTCCAAGGTGGGAAGACTGAAGGGAAAGGGGAGGAAGTGGTTAAAGAACCCACACTGAGCCTGGTCAGCAGTAAGGTGCCCTGTGAACTGTTCTCACAACCAGCAGCCCACTGTGGCATATTGCCAGGATGGGCCATTTTATTCAAATTCATCCTGTGTCTTATACATAAGGCTTTTATAGTGTCTCCCAATGTTTCTAGAAACCAAGTACTCTCAGTGAGAATCAAGTGCATGATATATTTCATTTATTTAACTTTGCGATGCCTGACAGTCAAAGTTCTCTGGGCATTTTACTGCAGCTTCTATCAGGAACCATGATACAATAAAAACTACAGTAACATTTTCCATAACACAGAATATAAAAGCCATTATTTCTTTTAAATACAATTGAGCTGCTAAAACAGTGTTTACTGCATAACAGATCTGTTTACACTCATGGGTATCACCATCAAGACTTTAGGTAGCTGTAGATAGCTTTGAACACCTCAGCACAGAGGATGTCTTTACTTGGTGCTGAAACAATGACAAAACTGGCATTCAGGGGGCCTCACTGGGGAGATGATTTATTTATTTATTATTATTTATTAACACATTTCTATGTTCCATTCCACAGCTGGGGGCCACCACAGAGAAAGTCCTGCCCCTTGTCTCATCCCTTTTGCCAATTAGGGACATTTGGGGATCAGGGGGAAAAAAAATCTAAAGTCTCAGATATTGATGATGGCATTCAGGTAGATTGTGGTTGGTAAAGGTATTATGCCAAGTTTTAGGTTCCTAAGGTATGCAGGGCTTTATAGAGTAAAACCAGCACCTTGCATCAATACATAGACAGTGAATACAAATGGGCCAGAACTGGTATTATCTGTTCAGATCTTCTGTTCCTAGTCATTAATGTGGCAGCCACATTTTGCAATTTCTGAACAGTTTTTAGGAGCAGTTCCAACAGTGCAGCAAGCTGGCCTAGAGATTACCGGAGCATACCAGTTTACTCCTGTCCAAATGTGAGTGGAGGTGGGACACCAGGCAAAGCTAGTGGATGCCCAGGCCTCCTTCCAGCCTCAAAAATTGATCAAGGGGAACCCCCAAGCCACAAACCCACTGCTTCAAGGGCTGTGCAACCCCTTCCTGAAAGAGATTAAACAACCTCCATCCAGTCAGGGGAACAAGCCACTAACAGAATCTCAGTCTTGTCTGGGTTGAGCTTTTACTTGTTAGCCCTCCTTATATTTTGAGGAAAAAGCAGCTATGCTGCCTCCAGCCCTAGTTTGGAAGATGCTCCTTTTCCAGATTGGGAGCCTGTATCAATTTCCTGCCCAAAATAATGTCCTTGCTGCTATTTACCCAAAGTTGCTGCTCGCCCCCCACTCTCTTGTGAACAAACTACAGGAGGGACTTGGGGTGCTAATTGGGCCAGAGCCCAAATCTAGACTTGGACTACACTGCAGATTCAGATACCCAACTGTATTCTCTTCAAACTGAACATGACCAATTAAAGCATATTTTAAAAGTGTGAATAATGTTATGGGCCATTTAATGCGGAGGGAATTTCTCACTTTAGGCTGATATACCCACTGCAACCAGGACAAGAGATAGCCTAGCAGCTGTCCATGCTGTGCTAACCTCCTGCTGTGGGGGGTTGCAATGTGTTGCTTGTGGGCTGTCTTTGAAGACAATCTAGACATTTCACCAAACTCAACATGACAATTAGGGAAGGGTTGATTTCACATCTTTAGCCATTGTACTGGCTGCCCATCTTGGCGCCCAAGCTCAGTTCTAAGTGCTGTCTTAAACCTTCAAAGGCTTAGACATCTTTGTGCAGATACAGAGGGTCTCCTCCATAAGCATCTGAGGTCTTTTTGCAGGTACTCTCACCAAAAGAGATGAGAGCCTTTTCGATGGTGGTGCCCCATTCATGGAATTAATTTTAGGGGATTCTCCTGTTGCCTTCTTTAACACCTGATGAAGATCTTTTTACATTCACAGGCATTTTCGAAACTGC